TTCTTGCTAGATACTTGGTCTGATCTACAGAGAGATGGAAGGGCTGCTTAGCAGTGACGAGCAGCGAATACGAAACAAGGTCTGGAAATTAAAATTGTTTTTAGTAATTCCAGCCATCACAACTCGGAAAAGAATCAGGACCTGTAGGTCCAGATGAAATATCTCAGTCTGTATTTTTCATTATGACAATCAGTCTCTAAATCTACTCAGTGAAAAAGTGCCTTGTACTGATCATAAATCCTACTCTACTTATAGGACTTTGAAAAATAGAAAGAAAAGGAATTTAAAGAACAGTAAATGGTCCTCAAACTGCTATATAACTCCCTGAAACATAAGCTTCTCTAGCACTTTAAGGACAAACAACATTCATTTTTACATTTCTTCTTCCAATTATACAAATTAAATTTGCCTTTTTCTTTTCTTTTTTTTTTTTTTTTTTTTTTTTTTTGAGGTGGGGGAGGGTGCAGAAACCACAAAATGTTGGAAAAAGGAATTAGGAGATGTAAGGAGTTATTAAACAAGGCATTCACCCATGGCTCTTGCACAGAAAAGGCAGCACTGGAAGAAAAAATAAAGCTGATTAATATGAAAGGCAGCTAACCTAAAAACTAAAATTTGAACTGAGTGGTGTGCAATAATCTTTCTCAAACACACTTATGAAAGCTACATTTGCTGGTATTTGTCATTGCTACGAAGGCCAAGTGTTTATGTGAATGACATTTCCTTGGTACAGAGGAAAACAAAAAGAAACAAAGAATTTAGTCATCACTGTCAATTTTCTGATTTTCCTGTCCCCTCATGGCTGCTCAAATCACATGCACTTACAGTGCAAGGTCATTTGCGATAAAGTTAGTTAAAAAGCAGCCATTCATTACTAGCAATTTCACTAATCCTCGAGTTGCTTGTAAGGAAGAGATGGAAATTGTGTTATTTATTTGCACTATTGGGTCTACAGTCAAAATAACTCAACTTGCTAGCGACATTAGTAAAATACTTGCCAGATGAAAATCTTAATAGCCAATCTTGGTCTTGCAATTCTTTATTGATGGTTGTTTGCCAGCCTATCTGGAGGCATAAGAAAAATCTTCACAGTTCTGGCCACTCATTAGCAAAGTACTGTAGAGTCCTAATCCCATAAAGATATTAAACTATTTTTTTCCTTATTGTACAATAGCAACAAATGGAGAGAATTCTTGTTACTTATTAAGATGTAGTACATTCTTTGCATATTGGGTTTCTTCCTATACTTTGAACTCTTATCCCTCCTCATTCTATTTCTGAGGCTAAGACCAAAGTAGATCGGCCTTGCAGAGCTGCAGATGAGTGGCTGCCTCCCAGAGAATATTAATGCCCTCTCAAGGAGCGGAGCGGGGAAAGAGGTGTAATCCTCTGGAGCGAGCCTGGGAGCATCGCAGCACTCAGCAAGGGGAGCAGTGCTGCACATCAGCTTCTGGAGAGGCAGCCTCAGGGCAGTGGAGCTGCTGCTCCTGGATTAGCAACGGGGCACTGTTGCAAAGCAACAGGGAGGCCAAGCCTTTTGCAACTAGAGAATCACCTAAATGTGGATTCTGGCAGACTGGCACAGAGCAGTGAATTTTATAGCAAGAAAATATGTGACCAATTTTGCATTTTGCATTGCAAAATTTTCTGACTTTTCTGCTTCAGACTTGTATCTTCTCCAATTTCACTTTTTACCCCTCGCTACATCACCTAGTCAGGCACAGTGTTCCTGATGAGCAGGACAGAGCTCCCGCTTGATCTTCCACTTCCAGCAGTGCTGCTGCCATACATGGTGGCTTTCTTGACTTCAGCTTGCTTGCAAGCCTTTTAAAGAGGAATTACTTTAGACCCTTGTTAAAGCTCAGAGTAAACATCCTAAGTACTAAGACGTTCAGTCAGTATCATTATAGGAAAAGAAGAAATGTTATATTCATTACAGAGGAAAATCTAGTAATAAAAAGCATTACCTGCATTTATAGCTCTTGTAACCTAATTTTTGTGACAAAGCAAAGAAGTAAAAACATTCCTTTCTGCCTTTCAGTGACCCCTATAAGAAACCCCCCTTGGAGTCATTTAGGATAGTAATTTGAGTTTAAATATATGTGGCCTTTGCTTTGCTTGCTCTTCTTAAATTAATAACCCTTTTCAATGACAAATCTGAAAGCTTTTGAAGATATTTACAAAAATGCTTTCAAATTAGTAAGCAATTAAAAGAAATAATAACATAAAAGACATTTTCCACAAAATAAAAAGTAACAGAACATGGAGCTGTGTTGTTCAAATGCTAAAACTGTACATAAAATACCCCTTCAATATAGGCTGCCAGTAAAAATCAAGGCAAAGCAGGTCATTAAAATGTCAGACTTGGGACAGAGTGGAAAAAATGCTGTGTTTAAAAGTAAACATGTAGCCCTTTTATGATTATTTCCCCTTAAAGCTAACTGTTCAAGGAGGAGGGGAAAAAAAAAAGCCCCCTGTCTCCCAAACACACCCCTCTGCATCAACACCACAGAGAGTCAAATTCTGGTCCTAACTCTGCTCCTGACACAAACCTAGGAAGATTTCAGCACCCTTCTGTTCTGTTCACGGATGAAACATCATTTTGCTTTATCTAGTTTCTCTAAAGCAAGAACAACGTCTTCTATGTTCATGCCACTAATATTTAAGATTTATGCTAAGGATGAAAAACAGCATCGTTAGGAAATTCAAGAGACTGATGCTTGCGGAACCCTTGGGAAGACACTGAAGTGTCTGACTCATGAAGTGACCAATCACCAGGTATCTGCATTCCACTCTTGTGCTGGTGACAGGCTCCTAACAGAGAGCTAGAAACCTGGGTCCAGGCCCTTCTTCTCACATGGGCCAGAACTGCCCACTGAGGCTGGCAGGAGGTTCAGCGCAAAGCGGAGGAGACCCTGCGCTGTTCATGGGCAGTCAGAGTTGTTCTGGCCCCATTTAGTTAAGTTACTTGTTCCACAGTCAGTGCAGGCGAATCAAGACAGAAAGAAGTATCAGCGTTTTTTAGTACCATTTGTAAAAGGAAAATTAAAGCCTGTATCTTTAGATACAAAATATGTTGTTGTACCCAAAATAAAGAAGTTGTATTCTACTGTAATTTTTCCTATTTCCAGAGCTTTTTGAGCCAGTAACAAAGACTGATGAGTCAGAGTGCTATCAGTCACATTCCAGTTTTATTTCCCTCCTACTGGAAAAAAATGCATCATGGCCCTGTCAAAATTTTTTTCCAACTCATTAATTCTGTGTATTTTAAGCAAAGTGCCGACATACAAAGTCAGTATAATATTTGCAGTCTTCTACTGAGCTGAATTCCCCGAAATCGTTCGAGTATAGGTCCAGCAGGCACAATTCAGCATTAGACTTGTGAATATTTGAACTCCATGGAAGCAAGTAGAGTTATTCCAGATTGGCATTGGTTTAAACAATATAACTACAGAACTGGTAAGACTCAGATAAATGTATTGAGTAGGAAGTAAAAAATAAAATTTTTTAAAAATCTAAAATTTAAATTCTTATGCTAAAGATTGCCGTCAGACAGTTTCTCAGACTCCCACTAAAGTTCATGCAGGAATATAGGTATCTGCTTATGTCCTCTTACATCTCCATATTTCCATTTCTTAAAATGAACAGATATCACTGCTGAAAGTATAGGCTGTCAGATTTACAATCAGTGATTAAAGCCAACATCCTTCTGGTTTTCATCTGATAAAAGCAGAGCTCAAAGCAGAGAGACAATGGGGAAACAAAACAGCACCAATAGCATTAATGCTTGCAGAATTATTCTTTTTTTTTTTTTTTAAATAAATTTAGCTTGTTCAATACAACTTCTATTTTAATTGGAGAAAGCTTTTAATTACCCCATGAAAAAATATGCATATATTTTAGCATGGAATGAGATGCATTATACTCAACATGCATGAATATCAAAGAATATTCTTTACAGTTTCACTTTCTTTTTCTAATTTCCAGTACCTTATGTAGGATACTTATACCGCAACAAACATGAAGAATCAAATACACCAGAACCAAGTGGCAGCCAACCAAGTTACAGTCCTTCGACATTAGCAGAAAAACAAACTTACATCTCTTAGACAGCTGTGGCTGCACAACCATTAATGTCAGATCTATTTTCACAGAATTCACAGAATTCACAGAATATTCAAGGTTGGAAGGGACCTCTACAGATCATCTAGTCCAACCTTCCTGCTCAAGCAGGCACACCTACAGCATGTGGCACAAGGTGGCATCCAGGTGGGTTTTGAAGACCTCTGGAGTAGGAGACTCCACAACCTCCCTTGATTTTGATCAATACATCCCCAGAATCTATTATCAATATTTCTTGAGCATCAGTCTACAATTGCAATTCTGTTAAAACAGTCAGTGCATACAATATACTGCTTCTCTTCCAAATCTATGATAAAAAAGACAAGTAATACTTCGGAGGAAGAAAATTAGATGTTTGTGAAGATGATACCTGATCAGGTGCTAAGCCAGCCAATAATACCAGCCTGATACAATTATTCTGAAACAACAAGATAACTTTAGTCCACTTCAGTGTTTTACATCATTTGGTTTTACCACTTTGATATAGTGTTAGGATCTAAAGCCAGGCTTGATGTCTTACCAAAGCACAGCTTGTGCCACGGCTTTAATGAAGTGAGCACACCAGGAACCTGCTGGAATGGTAAGTGGAACATTGGGTACAAACCCCATTAATTTTATTGCTACCTGCAAGTACCCAAGGTGATAGTTCTAGTTCAACAAGATTTACTAGCCCTGGGTCAGAAAGATCCTGCCCAAGTTCTCTCCTTCACCTGCTTTCCTGTTAACAGTTAGACCCTGTCCTGACATGTCTATTGCCTCGCTGCTCTATGCTTTCTCACAGGAATTTCATTCCTTCTTCCTCCTTACCATCTTGTGCTTCCAGCAAAGACCACGAGAACTTCTCAGGAAAAGAAGCAGCTCCTCTTGTTTATTCCCAGAGGACCTGCTTCCCTCAGTGCTGGACACGTCTGAAGGGGAGCAGGGTACAGCACAGCTGGAGAAGGTGCCAGCAGGAGCTCAAGTGCCCACACCTGTGTAGGAAGGGAGGTGGAGAATGGGCAATGCTTTATGTATTTACTTATTTTTGGATTCCTTTCATCTGGCCATTGCATTTCTCAATGTTCCCCAGTCTTTTTTTTTTTTTTTTTTTTTTTTTTTTTTTTTTTTTTTTTTTTTTAGCACTAGCTCATGATTCTATGTTCTTTACTCCTCTGGTATCTTCGTAACTGTCCCCTTTTTTTTCTTCGAAACATTGCAGTTTCAGTGACACTGTCAAGGGTTATAGATGACTGTAAAACAGTTGCTCTACCTTTATGTTACAGAACAATTTGGGTATTAGCTCCAAACAAATATATTGCAGCGTCAAAACAGAGTGCAGAGAAATGCTCTACTCTGAGCTTTGGGGCATATTTCCAGAGTAAAAACTCAACTGAAACAGAAATGGACCAATCACCCTGGAGTCCTAAGGTCTCCATATATCTGATTTTCTGACATGGATGTCAGAATAAATATACTTCTCTAAACACATATTCCAAGATTTAAAGGGTTCTCAACAAGGTGCTATCTCTTTATGTAATAAACACAGCATAAAATACTCCCCTCATCTTTCTTTAGGGTTTCAAACTACTCTCGCTTAGCAATGTAACTAGCACATAGCCTGGGACTAACTCTAGTAAATCAGACACATCAGTGCACTTTGCTGTTCTAACCACTCTGGCTTTTGTGGAGGACTAACTAGGTGTTTAGAAGCCTTCTCCTGTAGCTCATATTTCCTGGAACTCCTTTTCCACCCTCTCAGTCCTGGCTCACCCTGGAGACTGTGGGACTATTTGTTTAATTGCTGGTTTGGCTCGTATTCCAACTGGCATTGCCACTGGAAGAAAAATCCCACCTAGCTTGCCAGGAGGTATTTGCTTTCCCAGTGTCATCATCTCTGGTGTAAAAGCACAGACATTCCTATAGCAACACAGCAAGTTCAGGCAGCGAGGAAATCCAGTTAAAAAAAAAATCAAAAAAAAAAAAAAAAAAAAACACCCCAAAAAACTGGCTGTTTGATGGCACAAAGGAGAGTGAGCAGAATCTCTGGGTAGAGCAGGTTGCAGAATGGGAAGGCAGTAACAGACACCTGTCCTCACTATCCATGTAGAGCAGTAGCAGAAGATGGTTTGAGTGAACACAGTTTGCTTGAAGTATGCTAGAAAATGTGCATGTGGTCACTCATAGCAGAGGACATGTAGTGCTATATTTCTGCTATCAGTGATGGGATCCTAGAATCATCACTAATTGGCACAGCTACGTGCACAAAGGCAGCTAACCCCACCTTTCCCTTCCCTTCTGCGTTAACTTGGGCATTCTGTTTCTGTGCTGAAATCACATTACAAAGCAGGCTCAACAACTTTAACGCTAAGCATAGGTTCAGATCTATATAATTCCTATTTGTTTCTTGTCTTCACATTGAGAGAACGCATTAAAAGAAAAAGAGTGATGTGATTTACCTTAATTTATGTAGTTACTACAGCACTCAAATTTGAAACTGGTACTTTGAGGCCATGGTTAGAAATTTAGTATCATTCCTGCATGAGCTGTCACCATCATCGACACTGCTGTTGACTCTTCCTTAACTGATCCATCTGAAACAAGAATCCAACAGAAAAAAGAAAAAAAAAATATTTTCCCATTAGATTAGTTTGGGTCCAGGTCACTGTGTCTGTGCAAACACTTCTGCTGGAATGAGGCACGATGAAGCAGCAGGGGCTGAAGCTGCTGAAGAAATGCAAGTGTAGCCACATTCCTTGACATTTGAGTAGGCAAACTGACTTAGGGTGAAGTGTTTTTAAGTGAATTCTTATCCTTTTCTTACGCGTCATTTTTCTCACATTCAGAATAAAGACAATCCACAAAAGTGGTGTTTTCCGGTATATCTGTTCACACAATACTTCATGTTAGCAGTTCATTTCTCTCTTGGTCATGTTTTCAGTTTTTCTTTAACAGATGTTTACAATTACTCCTCAAAATGTTTCCATTTCTGTGATCACCGAATGTGAATAAGGTGACGTTTTTAAAAATAATTGTAGCTTTTTTCTGTCCAGAAACTATGTTGTTAGATTCAAATAGTCTTTGTCTTTTAAACTGTGGTAAAGGTCTTATATCTTCGTAACAGCAGCATGTGCACTAGTTAGTCTATTCCTTTTTGCCCAAATCAAAGTGTTATTTATCATTATCTGAATATATCTTGTATCTGGTAATCAGATGTGTTATGTGTCTGTCTATTTAAACTCAAAAACATGAGGTCTAATCTCCTGATTTTGTGCTTGAGAATTTCTCAGAGGACTGCAGAACAAATGGTCTTACAGCAGCCCAGCGTTCTGAAATGTGCAGGAAGGTTTCTTTGCTCCTTGCATTTTTTTTTTTTCATTTGTTTTTATTGACCTCAATTTTAGATCAAAGTTCTCACAAATAATTGCCATGTTGCCAACACCTGCAATTATGTTACAATGTTTGCAGTGCTTCAATTTTTCTTCCAACACAGTTCTGGGAGTCAAACAAATATTTGAGAAGTCTCATCTGTTTCATTTCTTTTTTCTTCTTTTGTTTTGAAAAATAAGATTTCCAGTTGTGGGAAAAAAAAACAGGAAAATGTACCATGTATGTATCTCAAAAAAGAATGTCACATATATATTTTAAAAGATAATGTTTTTAACATGGTCTCGTGACTTTTGGAGTGCTGACTCACGATTTTTGCATGCTTGACATCAGCAATACCACAACTGAAAGAAAATCTTTGTGAAAGATTCCTTTCTAGTCCTCTTGAGACAAAAGGATCCTCCAGGAAAAAAAACAGAGAAACAACTGTTTCTCATTCATGATAGTTCTAAGTTAAAAACAAGCAGAAAAATAACAACTTTAAAGCAAAGAATCTAAAATATCTGCCAAGACATTCAAGGCTTTCTTTTTGTATGAGAAAGACTCAAAAAAAAAAAAAAAAAGTATAAACACATTTTTTTCCCTTCTTTGGTAAGATACTATTAAATCATACAGTATATGAAAATTAGGCTTCTAGTATAATTTAGTACTTTTCAATAAACAGCTTTAAAAAAAATATGAGAAGTCAATCGAGAAGTCTAGTAACGGAAAGAGAGACAATGAGTTTTACATTAATGATCATATGCTATTTTTAATTATACAGTTAATTTATTACTGTTAAAAATTACTTCTCTGTGAAAGTAAGGAAATTTCCCCGAAAAAAAGTATTTTGACAGCCTTTCTGATGTTAAATGAGAACTTTAGGCCCCAAATTAATGCACTTATTTAAAAGTATACCAGTTGAGCACCAACTTCCAGATTCCACCTGTTGAAAGCAATTACAAATACTCTTTATTGCTGATAATACAGAAAATAATCAATAGATATCATTAGTACTGTCAATGATAGCAGTAGAAGAATCCTAGTAAAAAGAGTAAAAATCTGTTTCTGGAACAATCTGGTTAGTAAATCAAAACTAGAGTCTTCTATCAGGCAAAATTTCCAAGTTAATTATGAATATATATATATTTTTATATATATATTTACATAAAGACTCCAGGACAAATTACTTTTGGGTGGAATAAAAATGGTTGGTATGTGCCTGCACTAGAATGAACATTTTTGGCAGCAAATCATTCAGAGGCAAATCAGGTCAAAAGATGATTTACAAAACTGTCACTGTCATATGGCGTTAATTTGATAGCTCATTTCAACTGACATCTGTGAGAAACAGTTGGACCCGCTGCTCTTCTTGCATTAACTAGAGTTTTTAATTAATTATGACAAGATGAAAACAAACAGACAAAATAAGATTAAAAAGTAAAAAGCTAGACTCAAGGAAAAGGTGCACCTTACCCAGATAAACTTGCACTAGAACTAGGTCTAATTTTTTTTTTTTTTAATGACTTACCTTTGAAAAAGTGATTTATCTTGGAAGAATTGTGCGATGAACATGAGCAGGGTCACTTGTAGAGTGCTGGTGTACACATGAGATGGAAGCTCCTCCAGCCCCCACACCTTGCTCTTCTGTCCGCCCATTTGCTCTACAGATGAAGAAATTCACTACAGAGACAGACAAAAATAGTTATTACTTCTAATTACTTTTAGTACTTTTAATACCACTACCACAATAAAAATACTGATACTTCTGCAACGCTATACCTGCAACAGAACAACCCTTGAAATTAAAATAAACAAATAAATAAATCTGTAGTATGAATTCTCAACTATTCAGATAGTTGTTGTAGATAATGGGAGGTGTGGAATAAAAGGACTGCCGACTATTTCTTTGTGACATTAATCCCATTCTCAGGTGCTAACCTGGGTAACTTTTTGATGCATATTGGCTGATGTTTTTTGTTTTGCTGTCCTCAGAGCATTGAAGACTGACCATGAGTGGAGCTGACAGAGGATGTCAACCCGATATGCTGATACTCTTCCCCTACCGGGGTGCATCAGGTGTCTAGTTAGGGTCTCCTGCTCATAATAAATCGACCTAAGATGTGAGGTCACTGACACTTCTTCCCTACACCAGACTGACTTGAACTATTAGGATTTTCTTTTTTTCATTTTGCTTTCCTCTGGATTTTGAAGAGAGAACATTATCTGAAATTATTTGAGAGATTTTGCCCCTCCTCTCAACTTAATGGACCTCAAATTGTTAATTAAAACCAAGTCTGTTTGTCCCAGGCCTTGCACAAAAGAGTAAAGATAACGAGGGTGGTTTTGTGCATTATGGAGCTTCAGGAGCACCAAAGGAAGTTAGGGAGACAGACATTGATGGGAAGCAATCAAACTAGCCTCTTCCTGGCTGTCGTGTGTCAGGGCAAGGGGGTTCTGCATTGCAAAAAGACAACAACAACAATTTGGTCAGTGGGCATGATGACTTCTGCAGCCCCAACATTAGAACCTGATGAACAGAAATGTGCATTTGGACATATTCTGCATCCATCCTGCTCTTCAACTTATATTGACATGTTGTATTATGTCCTTGGACAGCTACCCTGAGGATCAAGCTTTTGGATTCTCATTCACACCACATATTACCTTAAGCTGTGTAGAATACCATTTAAATTAAACAACTCACTGGACTACGCTATAAACTTACTATTCACTATCAATTAATTGCATGAATAATCTCAATTATGTTACTGCAACTGCTTCATAGGTGAATAAAGGCTCCTCAGTCTTGCCATTAGATGTCCAAACTCGTACTATTTTTGATCACAAAAGCTATTTTAAATGGATATACTGAGGCAGACATAATTTTTTGACAAGCAGAAGAATAGCAAGAAAATAAAAAAGACCTGAACAAATAATCCACAGATATCAACAATGTAAAGATAATACAATGACAGTACAAAGAGAAGATATTCTTTCACGGTGTATCTTTTCAGTACTGATACCTGAGTTTTACATCAGGTCGTGCTTGATTCTGTTATGGTTCCACGGGATCTTTCAAGAATGACATTTCAGCAGGTGAAATAGAGACTTTCAAAATGAGAAAGTAAATATTTCAAATGGGCATGTTTTTGTTATGTTTCAGTGCACATACATTTGGGTTAGCAGCAGGAAACACAAATAGACAGGATTTTCTTGGCACATATTGTACCACACTGCAGCAATTTAATATTGTTATCTGGCAATTAACGTAAGTACACTCATTCTCTAATTATCATATAACTTACAGTACCCTCTAGTCTGGGGAACAGAATTAAACATGTGTTTGTCCTGTAGCTATACAGTGGTTTGTTTTCTGTAATGCAATAAACAGCTGTTTATAGGTAAAGACAATAATCTGTGTTGAACCTCTGGTTTTGAGTCTATCCATATCATGCATCACTGAAATCACTGGGACTCCGTATCAGATCAAACTGACAAATTCACCTACTGTTCCATCTACTTTCTTCGTATATTTTTCCCAGGTACTTAGTAAACACGCACTGTCTAGAAACTCATGCAATAAACTCTGCTATAAACATTCTGGTCTTTCAGTATGAACAAACAGCTTACCACCAAACCAGCATTTCATAGATAATGCTCTCATAGTCTCAAGAAATGTCTAAAACAGTTCTGATGAAAGAGATATCCAGATATTCCTTTCATTTACCATTGAAGTGCTGCTAGAAAGATTTTATTAAGCAATTAGTAAAATACTGTATGATCTGAAAGACTAATTAAGGAAATATTTTATTTTCGTATAATTAAAAAATACTCAATGAAAAGCTTGGACAAAGAAGCATCTACATAGGAATGATGCAGGTTGGTGTCCAAACTTCACGTTCTGCAGAGCACTTCCCTTACCTTTGTCAGATTAGAAAAGAAAAAATAAAGTCAGAAGAATGTATAAACACATTTGACATCTCTGAGACAGGGTAGCTTGACTGCTACCAAAACTGGGCCACAATATCTAAAATAATTGTACCTATCTCCCTTTTTGTATTTCAGGTCATCTACGAGAGTAGCAAAATGTCTGAATTGGAATGGCTGAACAAATCAAGTGAAAAAATCTCTTAAAACTGGTTCAACTTCTTGAGGGAGGCTAAGCTGGGAGGATTTGATTTGGTCAGGGACTTTTGCTCTCCCATCATAAGACCATTAATTAGTATCAAACAAACTACATCTACAGCTGCTGTAGCTCAGGTAGCAAGAGCCGCACGGAAAACGGTGTGAGCAAGGGACGGGCAAATGCAATTTTCATGACTGCACTTACTTTTAATTGATCCTGCACTACTGTGCCCCTTACGGAGTCTTTTAAATCAATGTCAACCATAAAATGGTACTAAACTGTACAACATCCTTTTTGGTTGCCGTTAAAGATAACTTATTTATAAGGATATGAGTAAAACTAAGTCTATGAATGCAAATGTGGGCAAAATTCTTTCAGAACGCCAATCCTGCAGTCTGTAGATGGGAGAACGGCAGACATGAACAAACATGGATATTTTCCATCTATCTTCATGAAAGATTCAGCAGATTTTTCCATTCACCTTACTGTTTTCTCCCCATCCTTTTATTAGCTGGATATTACATTGCTTTCTCATTACACAAAAGAACTTCCAAAGAGTGGAAAAGATTTCTCAAACAAGTCTTAAACATCTATATTTATTCATGTTATGATTTACTCAGAGCATCATCTTGGAGCTCGTAAAGTGGCAATAACATTTATCCCAATGTTTATTGGGATTTTTCCTCTCTGGGAGGTTTTTCCTACAGAAATAGAATATTACTGCTAACTCTGAACTTCTTTGAAATACGGTCATTTCATCAGAAAGGTCTTACAAAAATTCCTCTCTACTATAAGAGCCAATATTGAGAAGCAGACAGCTTAAATCTATGTGCAAGTGAACAACAAAAAAAATGAATTATGTGGATGCAACTTGCCTCACAACACTAGAGTGTGGTGATGGGACACCTTGCCTTCGGTGTGACCGTAATGGAGAAGGGAGAACTGGTCCAAGCTCCATTTCATGGTCTGCGCCCTCTCTGCTTTTCTGGCAAAAGCCACAACCACCAATGGTTACAGCCAAGGGGCTTGAGCACTTAGGAGTGTCATCTGAGAAAAGGGAAAACAAAACAAAACAAAAAAATACACCTATCTTTGGTGTCCCAGGTGAGTTCAACCTTCAACCAGTAAAAGTATGAGCTTCAATAAGAAAGTTTCTGGTAAAACAAGAATCTTATACTGCTCAAGTTTTGCTAATGCATAATTGATGAATGCTTAGTAGTGAAGTACAGAAAAGAGGTGTCAGCACTTTATGTTTTTTGTTTTAGATTCTCATAAAAGCTACAAGAGAATCAGTCAGAATGGTAGCGGACATGCCTGAAGTCTCATCAAGGTCAATACGAAAGAAATGAAAGATGATTAAATAATTAGAAAAAAAATTAGTTCTCATTCCTTATAAATGATTGTAAAAGACTATTAAAGGGATTAGGAATTAAAGGAATATGCAAAGACAGTCTACTAGCTCATTTGATTTTTCCTTCTATGGATTAGGTTTTACAATTTTTCAAGTTCATATTTCTTCCCAATCAAAGCATAAATCTTATAATTTATCTTATTTGCTTTTTTTCTCTAAAGAAATCTTCAGAGTTTCACATATTAAGCGTATGACATTATTCTGTTGTCACAAAGCAGTTTGCCTCTGAAGCCATGAAAAAAAGAGTTCCCAACCAATGTATTCCTAAAACTTGAGCTTAACATGAGTCTTACGGATGATGCTGAGTTTCACCTGCTCAGAATTCAAGGTCAGTTGTAAAGTCTTTAAAATCTCCACCCTGTATTTGACAATACAGCTGTGAGTGTTTCTACTTGCTCTGCAGCTCTTCCTTGAAGGGTAAATTCCACTGACCAGGCAACCTGCAAAGGAAAGTTAATACAGTCACAGTATTTGTCTGGCCTCATGAGGGATGATGCACAGGGGACCTGCTGTGCACAGAGCAGTGCCAAAGCCAAAAAATCCTACTGTGTTTGCAAAAATAACTAGCTTATTTTTGAAGCAGAGCTGAAGAAGAGTTCTTTTATACATGTTGACTTAAAATATATCATTGGAGCTTCTTTTTTAAAAAACAGTTTTTGTAAGCTATTCAGAAGAATGATACCAGTTTTGGCCCCAGCCCAGCAAAGCACATGTTTAACCTTCTGCATGTCACTAGTTTCTGAAATCAATGGGACTCCTTGCAGCGTCCGAGTAAATCATGTGCTTCAGCGCTTTGCCACAATAGGACCTTTACAATTGCTTCCTTCTGTACAGATAACTCTAGGAAACCTCACAGAGCCTCAGTGACTTTCTCATGTGATGAGAAATCTCTGCTATAGGTAGAAGGAAACCTAACTACCTTTTTAAAGCTTTACAGCCTTATGTCCTTGCCTCACTGGATACGTAGATTAGCTATGAGCAGATGCAATTAAATGCATGCACAAAAGGGAAGCTTTTCCTGGCAAGCAGAGAAAACAGGGTAGACATATATATATAGGTGAAGATATACAAAATATATCTACCCAAAAAAAAGCGTCTCACTTAGCTCCGATGCAGGGGGAAAAAAAGGTTTCTTTTCCCTAAGGAGTAAAATACTTGTAACTCTGCAAGATTGTCTTTGAAGAGACTCTTTGGGGTACAGAAATTCATTCCCAAACCCATGTATTTAGCAAGAACTTACACGCTACAGACCGTGAGCAGCCACGTTAGACACGCAGTGCCCTCAAGAGCTCGGACACAAGGTACGGTGCGGCCAGACTGTCTGCACGAGGACTGGCTGTTACCATTTGACTTGGAACAGTGCAAATGCCCTTGAAATACAGCAAACATCCCCCAAATACCTGGAATTATGCTACCAAAGCTGACAACTTTGCAAAATAAGTACGCATATTGTCTCTGGGAGAATAACATTAGTGGATAGTGGTTAGGCTAATCTGAAAAGTACAAATAAGAGAAGAGAATAAGAAGCAAAACCAAAATTGACATTTTTTTCCCTTTTTTTCCGACTTGTCCGTATATCACCTAATAAGTGATATCCATCTGGCTTGAGCCTTGTGAATAGCAATCCATTTTTTCTTCTTCAGTGCAAGAACAAGATTCTGCTCCCTTACTTACTGATAGCTGAAGAAGCCTCTCTTTCAAACAACCAGAATTTGTGATTAAATTTGTGTGTTTAAGGTGGGAAAATGATGCTTCGACATGGATAAAAATGCTCCCAGCACTGCTCAATATACTAAGGCAGTTTATAAAATAAAGCCTGTGCTCCCATCCCCAAAATAAAACCAAAAATGCTATGCATACAGCATAATTTCATGGAGCTTTGAAGTAAGGAGATATGAGCAGGCTTCTAAAAGCATTGGCTGAATTTATACCTCAGGTCTAATTTTTCAAGATACACCTGAACCCTAACACTAGTTCCCTTATTCCTCCCACTCCTCCCTCGCTGTGCCTGACAGGTGCCCCGGATGGAAGCTCTGACTCCTCATCTCTTACAATCATTATACAGCTGGCAAATGTACATTACTGTACTTAATTAATTTATCAGAATCTGGTGGGCAGGGCAGCTGCTTCTTCAGCACAGTGTAAATTCCTCCGTTCCCTTGCGCCTGCAGCTGGGAAACACACTGCCTTGCTGTCAGCAACGGGAAATATTCATGAAGTGAATATTGCCTGAGCACGCTGATGAAAACAAAAACCTGCTCGGGCTATTTTAGCCAGCAAATGTTTGATTTGTCACCTTTGCTTTGCATCTTTTCTTGGGCAACACCACTGCAGGCGTGTGTGTACACATGAACTTCTCCAGCCACCTTGCAGTAAAAAAAAAAAAAAAAAAAACCACCCAACACTAAAGAAAAACCACAACGAATGCTTTAAATTCACTGCAAAAGGTAAAAACTAACTACTAGCATCCAAACTTACCTCTGAGTTCAGTGCTGTACTTCAGTCCTGTGTATCTGACACAAAGTAAAAAAAAAAAAAATCAGCATCTTACAGTACCAAATACTAATTAGAATAAGAAATGTGTTGGATGTCAGGCCTGCAGAAAGCAAACTTTACACTCTGATAGCAGCTGGTGAGCGATAGCCATAATCAAGCCTTGTCCCTGCCTAGACGGGTGCCAACCCACCTCCCACACTCCCAGCTAATTCTCCATCAGGGACGATCTTTCTTTACGACTCCAAAGAAACATGTTGTCAGTTCCCACCTGCTGGCATTGCTAGAAATAAAACCACAGTTGATCGGATGCAATAGGTCAGCAGAACAGCGCATTGAGCTGTTGTTTGTGCTTCCAAGCTGCAGTACAGGGATTCACTAACATTTATTAACCCTTGTTCAAATCATGGGGTTTGCTATTCTTTTAGAAAACAGGAAGATTTTATAGATGAAAACATGTCCTTATAGGAATTTCAAAGGAAGCAAAATGTGCGCTTCTGCCAGGCTAAAAGTTCGATATCATTTGAAAAACAAAATATATTACAGAAGAAAGAAAAAGCAGATGTCAGCCTAGTGACACAGAGTAATCTATTTGCTCAGCGCTTGTATTTTCCTACCAATTTTGTATTTTTCAAAAAGGACAATAAAAGAATTGTGCTCACTGCTAATTAATGACAAGCTGGTAAAAGCATCTATCCATTGTTCCATTTATTTCTTCATTTCCAGCAGTTAACAGCCCTGTTCTGAAATGAATCAATGTCGTTTACACAATGCTGTCACCCCTATTGTTTCTTTATCATCCTTGCATTTTCATAAATCGGAGGTGTTAATCCCTTAATGGCTTCTCTCAGTGGTCTAAAATGTATGCAAAATGGTAATCCATTCCCTAAACAATTCACATTTACACAGGCACCCTGTTAAATATGTTTACTATCAAAAGGAATCCTTTGTTTGGATCTAACCCTATCTGTTTGTTTTCCAAACACTGAAACATAGCAGGTACACAGAGCCTTATTTTAATTAGTGACTATCAAGTAACTCTGTCCTTTTGCAAGCAGTTATTTGTCTTCAGAGGTGAAATAATTTATGTTTTTCTATTAGGATTATATTATGTATATATGAAAATGAGTACCTGCTCGTCAGGTTTTGAAAGAAAACCAAGGGCTTGATTCAAAGTCTTCCAGTGTAAGGGAAATACATATTCTGCTCTTTGGGTAGTGGGCTTTGGGCCTAAGCAAGCTGCTTATACACTCTCTCCCAGGGAGTGGAAAGGAAAACAGTGACATTTATCCAAACTATTTTAAAATTGGTGGACTATGCTCACTGACACATTGAATAAATTGAGGTTCAGTTAAAGTACAGTTAAAGTTATGGTTAAATCTTTGCTGATTTGGGAAATCTACACAAAAGCTACAGAGCTCAACAGCTTCATCCCACCACAGTCGTACATATTTGCAGTCAGGGATTTTAAGAGGTCATTATCAGCGCTAACACTGCACATCCCCTTCCCAGGGCCCGAATCAAAGTCATTTAAAGCACCTCACTTCATTTCATTGACATGACATGGCTTTGGGCCAACACCCAAATGAATTGCATTGAAACAACGAATTATATGCAGAAAAAAAATATAGGATAATTTTGCTTTTCTAGAATCACATTGCAAATCTTTTAAAGTGTGATTTCAAACAATTTCTGATCCAAGAAAAGTGCAGTTTGATGAGATATTATGCTGGCATTACAATCAATATAAAAATAATAAAAAAAGGCACAACTGAAATGTCTGACAAATAGGCAGACAGGCATTTCAATAACTTGGAAAAAAGAGCATTGGTGGCAATAAAAGCAGAATACAAAACCCAAACCAAAACAATACTTAAGCGTCGCTGGTGTAGTTCTGTTTAATTCATTTTCCTTCCTCGCTGCAGAGTACGTATTGCTTAGAAGTGACACTGGAGCTTTCCAGCAGTGGGTGGCTGTGGGAGCTGGGCTACTTCAAGGAGGGCTCCAAGGAGCGCTGCCATGGAGAGGAGGATCAGGACTCAGCTGGGACCGGGGTGAGCTGTGCACAACCAGCGGGCACAGGCTGCACAGCCGCAGCTCCTCAGGCTGTGCCACCAACCCCCTACCCTCCTGTCTTAACCTACGCTGAGCATCGAGGTCTAGTGGCAGAGCCAGATTAAAACCCAGGGTGAGGGACTAGCGGGGCTGTGGAGCTAGAGCTAGACTTGCAGTTGCACTGCATGAGGAGTAATTCAAAGATGCCCCGCTCAGGCAGGAATTGGAAGTGTCCCTGGAAAGGGGCATCACCAGAAGCAAGCACAAGAGCTGCCGGTCAAAGTGAACTGAAGCTATACAAAAACACACCGTAGCCTTCCCAAAGTTCAAACATCTGCAAGAACTACACAATGGAGATGCTGCAATTCTGCCATCAACTCATGGTTCCAGTTTTTAGGGGTTGAAGTTGTGTAGCACAGTGGGAGCAATATAGGAGACTAATGGGGAAAAAGTTAAAAGAAACCAAAAAACCTTCAATATTTTTGTGCTCAGCTTTTGGGAAAATCTTCAGCACGTTCCTGAACACACTTCTGAATAAAGTTCACATAGCTATCCAGAAGTAAGACCAGAAGCACCAAAGCTCTTGGAGATTTGCCAGTCATATCTCATTGTGCATTAACTTATCCCAAATGCGGTGGGATCTGGGAATAGACAATACGGATGGACAACATGGGAAGACATGCTTTGCCTACCTTAGCAATTACCTGAGCTCCTGGGAAGGTTGGTGCTTACACTCTTCACGTGAGCTTATGGACCACCAAGCTACATCAATACGTCCTGTGCACTCTGGTGACTTCTCTCAAACTTCTTCTTTGATGTAGGTACTAAGATCCTTCCACTGCCTGTGGAGCACGTCTGCTTGACAGAAAAAACAATACAGATTGAAAGACCAAAGGGTTGATATCATATCTATATCTGCTTTAATTTCTCTTGATATGATGATAACAAACTACATCTCTAGGACGTTTAGCAAGATGCGATTTGAGAACAGAGATCAGCAGTTCTTCAAAGACTGGTGATACAAATGATCCAGGCATAAAAGGGTTGCTGATAAACTGAAAGTCTGACTGTCCAACTGCAAGTAAAAATGACAGTTATTTGGACTTAGACCTGTTCTCTTCTCGTGGCATGCTGCAAATCTTGAGGCTTTCTGGCTCCTATACTGACATGTCATTCATTTGTAATAGACCCTGCTTGGATAGCTGGGGTTTGTAGGGTGTGGGGACAAGAGACAGAGCTGACGTTTCTGATCAAAGCCAGTACTGACAGACGGTAAATGTATTAGTAAGTAAGGATAAAAGGGACTGAGAGCTGATTCCTACTGACTTCAATTGAAATATTTTCATTTTATAGCATTGATAATTTGGCCTTACCTGAGTTCCTTTTTTATTCCACAGATAATAACAATCCACAGAACCTAAAAAGAAGCAGCATTTCCTGTTACTTGACTGAAAGACGGAGTTATTCTTTACAGCAAAGCAAACAACAATATTGGTGTGGTTATATTGACTATCATACGTCATGTAGAGGAAGCAAAATAATTGAACGTGCATTGCCCTTTGCAAAAGGAGTCCTCAAGTATCTTGCAATATATATTTTTTAAAAGCATCATCTCTGAAAATTATGCATGAATAAGACTGAACTGTGAGGTCTGGCACCGCATTCTGCGTCTGGAGTTTTAAAATTTAATTCTGTTGCAAATGCAACTACTCTGATTGTTTTGATCTAATCAAAACTGACTGTTAAATCTCTAATTCTAACGTCTTTTCAATCTTTGCTCAAAGTGACACATAGGTACTCTGTGACTGTGCATTATGAAGTTAACAACTTGTTATTTAGCCTATCAGTTGTTGAATATTCAGCCCCTTATTGGAATTGTTCAAAATGTAAAACTACTTCTGCCTTTATCACTCCTGTCTCTCAATTCATTCTTAGAGATCATAGTTTTTCCATAAATCAATTAAGAAAAATAGAAAGATGTTGTATTTTTAACTTTTGGTGCTGAAGGTTTCCAGACTCTCTCTACAGTTGATGGAGGAAAAGTATTAGAAGGAGGAAGAACAAAATATGTGTTTCATCTGCCACCGATAATCTAATAGAGAAATACAGCCATTTATTAATTAGTCAACAATTTATTACAGAATTAAAATGGTCTATAGATTATTAAGATAACTGCAGGAACTACCAATCAAATTTTTATATTTTCAGATTGGAAGATTAATTGAAATCCACATATATCAATTCTTTTCTTGGCTGATTTTTTTTCAACAGCTATTCAAGTTAATGCATCTTTAGGCCTCAGTTTAATCAGAAGTAGTAATTTTAATTACCTTTTGAATGTTGTGTAACTCACTAAGATAACAGGATTTACAAAGCAACTCACTGAAGGCTTATTGAAATAATCTTCAAGATATTAACATTAATATTTGAGAATCAGCATTAGGAATTTCAAGTAGAGCTATCAAATGTGAACCAGACCCCTGTCATTAAAGTCATCCTAATAGTTTTGCAGAAATAATTATCAAACCTCATATATGTCACATACAGCTATCTGCTTAGTAGCCTGCGATTCTGCTGGCTGATTGCTTCTGTAATCAAACATCTCTTTGATTTAATGAAGAACTGCTTGAATATCATTGAACAGAATTAAACAAATAGTGCTTAATAATTTGTTTCTAGCTACTATTGCTAGCTAGGTAGCTATTTTAAATCATTCTTTTTCACATTTGTATTTCTTTTTGTTTATCACTTAGAGCTGCTGCTACATACAGAGGGAGGCAGCATTTCTTTATCACCTATGTAATGAAAAACGCTTGTGCTCTCTGCTCAACAAACCCTTAGCCTCCCAAGAGGGAATCGGTTCATGAGAATTGAAGCCAGTTTTCTCAGGATAAGTTGCACACAGTATCAAGAAACCTGAAAAAAATTATTCCTAGCCAAGTGATCTAGAATTGTATGAGGCTGCTCTGAATCTCAAACCACTAGAGACTCCTACAGACTTCAGCAGGCTTTGGATTAGGGTCTAGATGTATGTTAGCTTTAGTGACTCAGTGTTTTTGTAATCTCACGCTAACTATCTGGCCGATCTGTCCATCCATGCTCCCAATTTCCAGCCTCCGCTGGTCCTTCCAAAAAAAGGATCGTATCTACTCTTATTTTGCTTTGATTAACATAATTAACCTATCATACACTGAAGCGACTCGCAGAGCAAATTGGTAAGCCTATTTCAGAAAGCAACATAAAGCACAGAACAGCTTGGATTGTCAGATAAACATACCCAGAGGTGCAGTTAGGATGCTGAAATTATTAGGTGAATGATAGGAAGCCAAAAAATCAGTGAGCCACTTGAGCAGAGAGTATAAACATAAATATCCAAAAGCATGCCACAGTGCATGCGTATTTTATGTTGATGTGCTAATACATTATCTGCTAAGGGTTTATTTAAACCATTTCTGTATTCCCTCCAATTCATTTATCTGCATAAGGAAGAGCCAATAACAGGACAGTCCCTTACGAGCAAGGAACCCTGTATGTTTTCCACTGCTGTTTATAATTCTTCATGCTCATCTCTATAATTCATGAGCAAACTGGTTCGTGAATGTTTCCATAAAGGTTGAGCAAAGTATGGTGCTGTTAACACTCGCACTGTCATGCACAGAATCGAAATGTGCCCTCTTTCATTCTATTTATCACAGCTCAAAGACATTTTGGCAATGATATTATCCAAATATTATTAAAACTTTGAACCCTGTCCCCATAAATTATAGCAAAATGGCTTCAGAGCCATTAGGCAAGGAGGATGTATGGGCTCCAGTTGCTTTGGAGTAATTATGTGCTTAAAAGGAAGCGTGGCTAAGCATTCTACCAGTAAAAAGAGAAAAGCTATGATCATTTGTTACTGCTTCAGTGCTGTACACAGTATTGCTCACACAGGTCAAGCCAACCTTACAGCAGGACAATTATCTGCCTAGAGAGACCAAACATCTGTTATTAAGTACGCAGAGGCACCACTGCAACATGCTAGAAATCTTGTCCACTTCATCGGCTTGGCTCACGGTAATGCACTTCAAACACTTGGCTAACTCTGCACAACATCCCCCCTTTCTTATTGTTACTGCAACAGTTCAGCTTTGAAATATGCAGTACCTTCACTCCCCCATTACTTCCTTTAATATGTGCACAGCTGTTAAAGATGCTGGTGTAACTTTAGATGAGTCCCTCTTTCTCTCTCTCTTTTTTTTCTCCTCGCTCTTTTTTTTTTTTTAATTTGAAATGCATTTTGAGACATTCTTGTACATTTACAACTTACCAAGTGAGAGTCACCGTGGAGATAATCCATGCAATGCACAGGGATGCTCAGTTTTTATATGATAAAGCAAACATTTTTTGATCCCAAATATTCTTAAGATATCCAAAGAGTTAAGTAGGTCTTTTACTCCACAGTTATGAAATACGTGCTTATAATATACAAAAGCAATGGAACAGATAATTCTTTTCTTTTTTTTTTTCTTTTCTTTTTTTTTTTTTGCTTTTTTTCTTTTTAATTAACTTTGCAGTAGAATGTTGATAAAAGAGAAAAACAAACAGGAAAAGAGAGATGACATGAGAAGTTCATAAGGAGCTGGCTAAGTGGAGATGTGCCTGTAACCGAGACCCCATGAACACATAAAGCCAAAAATCTATTCCAAGTGGATATTGTGAATCCATTCTGGGGCTTATTGATCGGAGGCTGATTGTTTTTCTGGGGTGAAAAATGTTACTTAACAAAGCCTACGCTCACTGACAGTCAGGTAGAATGACACTCTGTCGTCAGACTGATTATTCACCCGAAGTGAGGAGATTTTGGACTGTACACAATTTGCTCCACTTTTAATAGCTCTGAACAGTTATTCTCCTTCTGATAGAAATTGCAGATGTAACTGGCACATTTGCTTTCACAGGGCATAGCAAGAACTCTAAAGAAGAGTAATGAATGGGTGGCAGAGATGTCAGGGTTAGAAATTAGATCCATCTTATCTGTCTCGGGTTTTTCTATGGTGTCTACCACAATGCTGTAATCAAACTCTGGAGTTGATGCTAGGTGGAAAATCTACAGAAACTGAAGATCCTAAAAATATTTTTTAATATAGGCTTTCATGAAAAAAATGTACACTTTCTGTATTTGCTTTATACCACTGTGTGTGCGTATTGTAAGAGGAGCTGATACAACCAGCATATTTATTCTGTCCTAAGATTCTGTCAACACAAACTATTCCTTAAAGAAACCCAGATTTCCTTCACTGAAGATCAAATGAGAATAATATGCTGGGCTGAAGAGCGCAGGACCACAGTGCTGCAAGAATAGGTAGAAAGCAGAAAATGATGAACAAGAGCAGAACAGGAAAAACTGATCCGGTGTTACCAGAAACAGTCATGTGCAGTCTCCAGGTCTTTTGTCCCTTGGTAAATATAGGACTTGGAGGAAAAGGCATTCTCCTATGGCTATGACAGACAGCTCTGCAGCTGCTCTCATCTACATCATGTTCTCTTTTAATATAAGAGGACTGTAAATAAGGGACCAGTTGGATGGAGAGTTTGAAAGTGGATCAGTGAAGAAGAGTGTGTCTTGTGTCTGAACTTGTGTCTGAGTATCTACTCATGCCTGGCCTCTAAGGAATTACAAGATTTGCTCACAACATATCTATAAAGGAAACACATCTATAAAGGAAGAATTTTAGTTGGCTTTTCTTTATTTCAAATTTGCTCATGCTGAAGTCAAGCCCATAAACTCAGATATGCTCTTCCTTCAACAGTTACACCAGATGCTGAATCTGTAAGACTCAACAGTCAAAGAATTCAACACCTAATTCTAGAGAAGGCATTTGGGGCAAGTCTGAATGTGGGTGCACCAGCAAGGAGATTTTACTGTTCTAGGATGATGCTCCTGAAAGGAATTGCAATTAACCGTGCACCTTCCTTTGACTCACTGTAGATTCTTGCCAGTGATAAGTCCTGTAAAACGTTCAGCACCCTCCCAGTGGTGACCGGTACTGAGGAAAGGAAAATGATCTTTCTAAGCAAGCCCTGCACGAAGAGACATTCTTAAAAGCTCAGATACCCTTTCTCTAGAATTCCTTCTGTAAAGAAGCTGCAGCATGTTATGAGACAAAGGCTGAAGTTTTGGGGTTAGAGTGACAGATGCCAGGACAGACAGACAGACAAAATCATTTCATAATTAACTCATAAAAGCTGAACTGATGTTGAAAAGCTGAATTGATTACATTATTAAGAGGCAAATTCAATGGTAGTGGCAAGGTGGAATAAACTGGTATCCCCCTAGATTGTAGAAATTGTGTAGAGAAAATTCACTAATTGGAATGAGATTCTTACAGGTAGAAAAATGAGCCTAAATCATTCTTCAGAATGAGGATATGATTT